ATAGGCTTCCTTCTTTTTCTTTCTGCCATAGATAATGTCATCCTGAAATATCCATGTTATATTTTTGATAAAGGGATTTAGAAAGTATAGAACAATAACACAAATTGCAGAATTATTGAGATGCATAAGAAAGCTGACTATTTGACAATGAGTTGTATTTGCTGTACTCTTTGCTCCAAACTCAACACTCTTCCCCCAGTTATTTGAATAACTTCACAATGGTCTATGCTCAAATAGCACCTAACCTCTCTAAGAGATTAACCAAAGAACTTGTATGCATATATACATAACCCATGGACACGGACAATACTGTGGTGAAGGCCTGGGGTGGGTGGCTGGGGCGGGCTAGAAGGGGTCAATGGGGAAAAAAGGGGAACATTTGTAATACTTTTAACAATAAAGATTAAAAAAATAAATGCACCACCAAGGAAATCAAAAAATGATTCCTTCAATTATATATATATTTCAGCATTAATTATTACCAGAAAATGATTACATATTTATTTGTTTTTGTATTCTCCATTAAAAATAAATTTGTTGATAAAGGGACATTCTTTCTCTCTTTTAACCCTGTACCTAATATAGTACCTGTCTCAGGATAAGTCTATAATAAATGTTTGTTTCTTGAATGAATAAAAGAATGATTGAATGCGTAGTTACATATTCTCATTATGTGCTCAAACCTCCTTTCCCTGGTTCCTGCACCAGAAAGAAAAGTTCGCAAAATAGTCACCTTTTTAATTCTGATCAGTGAATATAGATTCTTCAACCAGTCTATGTTCAATGGTATTGCTTGTTACTACAGAGAGATGATATATCCTTTGAGATAAAAGTTTTAATGTAATTCATATCTGCATTATTCTTATATCAATAGCATAGGTTTGCATTTAATAGGTATGCAAAAATGTTTGCTGAGTGAATGGACAGGATAAAACTTTGGTTTTAAGATGATCTAAAGGAGAATATTTGTGATGCTCTTTCCCATTTATAGACAATTTCACCATGCTGTATCTGATTTTGAAAATTTAAGATTTCTATTGTAATAAACTTGACAGATAGAAAATTCAACAGAGTGGACATTTGCTTTATTTTATTTTGACTGTCCAGTTTTAATAATGCCTTCTAAAAACATTCTTATCATTCTTTCTGAACTATCTCTTCTCTGCATTCAAACTCCTCATAGTTCTAGTATGTTTGCCTCTATCCCCAGTTCCATGGAAGGTCATATTTTTCATTTAATAAAGATTCATGGTATTTTGTGATAGTCACTGATTGGGAGCTTGAACTACATCAGTAAATAAAACAATAAAAAAAATCCCTGTTTTTCTGGAGCTTTTGTTCTAGCAGAAGGGAACAAACAATATATAATAAATTCAATAAGCATTAAATATATATTTGGACCATACTTTAAACACTAAATTGGGAAGTAGGGTAACCCAGAGGTATAATAGCATCGTAATTGAAGGTCTCACTAAAAATGCATTTGAGACAGCATGGAGAGACCTGGCATTATGCTAAGCGAAATATGCCAGTCAGAGAAAGATAAGTACTACATGATCTCACTTATATATGGAATCTAATAAAAAAAATAAACTGATGAAAAAATAGATCCAGAGTCATAGAAGCATGGAAAAGACTGATGATTCTCAGAAAGAAGATGGGGGTGGGTGGGTGGGGAGAGATTAACCAAAGAACTTATATGAAAATATGCATAGCCTATGCACACAGACAAAAGTGTGGTGAAGCAGTGGGTGCTGGGTGGAGGGGATCAATGGGAAAAAGGGGGACATCTGTAATACTTTCAACAATAAAGGTAAATTAAAAAACAAATTAACAAACATGCATTTGAGCAAACACTTCAGGGAAAACATTCCAGTGTGAAAGAAGCAGGATAGAAATTATCTGGAATAATAATAGTAAAAAAGGCCATAAGGAATGAGTGTGCTTTTTTTGGTTATGTTTTGTTTTGTTTTTGAGAAGTGGCAAGAAGGTCTGACTAGCTGGAGAAGATGGAGGAGGGAAAGGATAATAGAATAGGAGAGATTTGAAGGGGACTAGATCATTTTTCTGATTGAATATTGAACTTCGTAAATGTCTCTGCTTTAACTCTCAATGAATCATGATGACCTAACTGATGGATCTCACACTTTTCCAACATAGTTAGAGTGGGTGGTATGGAGGAAGAGGGTTATTCCTGGCATATAGTAGTCACTTGGTTAATATTCGATAATGACGACTTTTATAATTACGTAATTTTGGTAACTGTAGGAAGGTATAGGAGTGATCAGGGAGCTGGGAGAAGTGACTTTAAAAGATGAATTTTCATATGAAATGCCCCTCATGCTGCTCCAGATTTTCAGTACACAAGAATAACATCAGAGAAAGGTGATTAATTTTAATTGTTTATTTCATGACCTCAAGAGCATGAGGCAATGGAGAGACTCTAGGGTCCATATCCCAAAGGTTGTGATTATAGATATAAGAATATATGAATCCCTTCCAATCAGGAGAGGCCCTGCCTTTGCCATCAGCAGGTTTGTTTTAAGATTCAAAAGACAGATTGATATTAATTTCAATGTATGATATCTGGAAAACAAGGTGAGAGGGGGACATTTACCCTTTAGATCTATGCAGTGCTTGAGAAATATTTAGTTACTGCAAAAGTTACATATCTGAACATGCCAGGAAGAGGATGTGCCCTTGTCCTACAGAGCTTTGCAATCAGAAGGCCTGGCTCAGCTGAGCTCCCCAGTGATAGCCCCATGGTGCCTAGGGTGGGGGTAAGAAGAGCTTGGAGAATTTTGGAAATGGGCATTGTCTTGCTTCTATAATTTCTCAGAGCAGTAGTCAAGGTAGACACACACGTCTTTAAATAAAATGAAGTAAGCAGAGAATAAATAGACTAGTGAAAAAAAATTAAAAGATACCAGTTTTAATTAAGATTGTAAAGCAGGACACATTGGCCCTTGAGAGCAAAAATTATGATAAAATGGAGAACAATTATAAGAAAGAATATTTCAGCTATAATATTTCCCAGATTCAAATATATAAAAAAATTTACTAGTAGTTTAATAATAGCTTTTGGGACATTACATTAAATATAGCATTAATTCTTAAAGGACTTAGATAAATTACAAATTGTATTAAGAAAAAGTGTGATAGAATGTCTGAGTTTGTGATGGATTGTCTTTTGAGGTTGTCTTTAATACTCACATTTATGAGCATATGAGCAGATGGGACCCTGGAGTGTCTCAGTTTCACATATGATCTGACACCTTCACTGATGGGCCATCTGAAGCTATTTCATGGGTTGTGGGACCAGAGAAAACCTTCCTAGAAATAATAGATAGAGGGTTTCCTAGTATGGGAGGATCTTAGAGGTGTTAGGCAGCAATTAGAGAAATATAGGGTCAGAAAAGTAGGCTTTTGCCCTATACAGTTGTGAGTGTGAGAAACACAGAGTTTATTCTTGTATTATTACTTATTAAGTATTGTGTTATTTTCCATACAAACCTACTTTTGCCTTGCCTTGTGTAATTCTGTATTACTATTTTGTCTCATAAAATGACTTTCTAGTGCAGTTTTTAATTCTCCTTTACAGGTGATATAGTGACAAAATGAACATTTTACAGGTGTTGAAGGAAGCGGGGAAGGAGGGAGGGAAGGAGGAAGGGAGGAAGAGAGAGAGAGAGAGAGAGGCAGAATGAACATTTTACAGGTGTTGAAGGGAGGGGGGAAGGAAAGGGACAGAGAGAGAGAACCTAGGAAAGGGAAGTCTCTCAGTCAGAGTCTTTATAGTTAGTTATTCCTGGGAGAAAAAAATCCTAAATCCCTTTCTCAGTTCATATTGCTGCTGCTTTCAGATATACCCTGTCACTGGGCTACTACTCATACACATAAAGTCTACATTTTGTCATAACGTATGACTATTAATAAAGGGAATACCTTAGCATCTAGACCTTGAACATGGATCAGAGTGCAGCATAAAATATGGACATATTGCTGGGAGTTTGGAAATTAGGGTTTAGTCATAGCCATTTAATGCTCCTTATTTGCATGTCATTGGGAAAGTCATGGTTTCTCCAGCTTCTGTTTTATCACTTTGAGAATAAGAAAGCAGACTAGATTATCTATCATCTGTCCTAATTTTATTATTTCTCAAGCAGTGAGGGAGTATTGACAACTAGGACTCCCTGCATTGAGGGCAATGCTTTCTGAAAAAAGTAAAGATTTATTTTTATATCAGACTTACTGGATCAAAAAAGGAAGAGATTGGCCTGGCTGGCGTGGTTCAGTGGTTGAGTGTCAACCTATGAACCAGGAAGTCACGATTTGATTCCTGGTCACAGGGCTCAAGCCCAGGTTGTGGGCTCCATCCCCAGTGTGGAGTATGCAGAAGGCAGCTGCTGATCAATGATTCTCCCTCATCATTGATGTTTCTATCTCTCTCTCCCTTTCCCTTCCTCTCTGAAGTCAATAAAAATATATTTTAAAAAAGGAAAAGATTAAAGTGCTATATGAAATTAACAATAAAGGCACAAATTTAAAGTGTTAGGAGTATTCATTCTTGATGTCACAGTGTGAATGTATGAAGCAAACATTAATTTTAGAAATTTCTCATTTTATTGCTGATTGCAGGGTTGACAAAATCAGTGATGTTAGGCTTATCTTTTATGACATTAAAAAAGGAGAGCTGAAAGTGTTATGGGTGGATTTGATTTAAAACACCATAATTCCCTTGAGCTCATACTATTTTTAAATATTAAACAGTACAATTGAGAACTTAGAAAATTAATTCAATAATTGTATTTTTTACATAAAGAAAAATTAAAAATGTTATGCTTAAAAATATTATACATTCAGCATATCTTGCATAATAAACCCATAGAGAAATTCTGTAAGATATTTTTGCTTCATTTACCAGTTTGATAAGGAATATTAACCCAGCTTTTTATACCCTCACTTGGTTTAATATTTTTCTTTTCAGGACTCATTCAGATTCTGAGAAACAGAAACCATGATACTGTCGGAGAGGAATGAAAGTGGGACCACGTTCACTCTCTTGGGCTTCTCAGATTACCCAGAACTGCAGGTCCCCCTCTTCTTGATTTTTCTGGCCATTTACAGCATCACTGTTGTAGGGAATATTGGGATTATTGTCATCATCAAAATTAACCCCAAGCTGCACACCCCCATGTACTTTTTCCTCAGCCACCTCTCATTTGTGGATTTCTGCTATTCCTCCATCGTTGCCCCCAAGACCCTGGTGAACCTAGTCGTAGAAGACAGAACCATTTCATTTCTGGGATGTGTTGTACAATTCTTTTTCTTTTGTACCTTTGTGGTAACGGAATCCTTTTTATTGGCTGTGATGGCTTATGACCGCTTTGTGGCCATCTGCAACCCTCTGCTCTACACAGTTGCCATGTCCCAGAAACTCTGTGCATTGCTCGTGTTCGGATCGTATGCATGGGGAGTAGCGTGCTCCTTGATACTCACATGTTCTGCTATCAAGCTATCATTTGAGGGGTTCAACACAATCAACCACTTCTTCTGTGAGTTCTCCGCACTGCTCTCCCTCTCTTGCTCTGATACTTATGTCAACCAGTTGCTGCTTTTTATTTTTGCCACCTTTAATGAGGTCAGCACACTGCTCATTATTCTCATGTCCTACGTATTTATTCTTGTCACCATCCTCAAGATGCATTCAGCCAGCGGTCGCCGCAAAGCCTTCTCCACCTGTGCCTCACACCTGATGGCTATCACCATCTTCCACGGCACCATCCTCTTCCTCTACTGTGTGCCCAACTCCCAAAACTCCAGGCACACAGTCAAAGTGGCCTCTGTGTTCTACACAGTGGTCATCCCCATGTTGAACCCTCTGATCTACAGCCTGAGAAATAAAGATGTCAAGGATACAGTCAGCAAGCTAATGGACACTAAAGTCTTTTCTTGTTGAGCATATTGTTTTAGTAGCGTTTGTACCTACATGCAGATAAAGTATGTCCTTAAAGGTTTATTTTAAAGAGATATTTTTTAAATTATTGAAGAGCTAATGTTGTACAGTGGAAAGGACATGGATTTTGATTCAAAGAGACCAAAATTAAGTCTGTCTCTTACTGAAGAAAAATCATCAGTTTCTTTCACTTTAATTTTTCATTTACAAATTTGAGATAACATAAGCTGGCTCCTAATCTGATTGTAAAGATTAAAAGGTAGTATAGGTAGCATGTGGAATACCTTATAGAATCTCAATAAACATTAATTTCATCCCTCTTTCATATAACATGCCTGGAGTAGACTAGGCCTTCAATAAACACATGGATTTCTCTTATAAAGATACAAATAGCAGTTAAGATATCATAGTCTTCATTTTCAAGGAACTCAACATCTAGTGTTGACAGTAGGGCAATGAAGAAAGTGGCCATTGTATAAGATAGAAAATAAGTATCATAAAGGGTTTGAGAGAAAGAAAAGTTCAAATCTATTTTGGGACTTTGGAGAGATGCCTTCATAAAATAGGTATTGTTTGCACTTGGCCTTGGATAGCAGAATAGACAGTTTCCGGAGACACATTTCAATAAGGTAGGAGTTTTATTCAGTAGACAAAAGCCTAACAAAATAAAGAGTTCAGAATGTAATACTGAGTCAATGACTCAACAAATTTTTAATTGTCTTTTTAATAATTTTTCAATTATAGTTGATATATACTATTATATTAGTTTCAGGTGTTCAACCCAGTGATTAAACATTTATATAATGTACTAAGTGAAGACCCTGATAAATCTAGTGCCCATCTGACATTATACATGGTTATTACAATATTATTAAAATATTATAAAGTACTATGCTGTACTTTACATCCCCGTGACTATTCTGTATCTACCAATCTGTACTTCTCAGTCCCTTCATTCTTTTCACCCAACCTCCCAATCCCGCTTTCATTTATCAACCATCAAAATGTTCTCTGTATTTGTGAGCTTGTTTTTATTTTGTTTATTCATTTATTTTGCTCTTTAGATTCCACATATAGGTGAAGTCATATGGTATTTGTCTTTCTCTGTCTGACTTATTTTGCTCAGCAAAATATCCTCTAGGTCCAACTATGTTGTTGCAGATGGCAAGATTTTTTTTACGGTTGAATCATATTTCATTGTATATACGCACCACTTACTTATATATCCATTTATTGATGGACACATAAGTGGCTTCCATATCTTGTCTATTGCAAATAATGCTGCAATGAGCATATGGATGTATATGTCTTTTTGATTTAGTGTTTTGAAGATGAAAATGTCTTAATAGTTGTATTCAGAACAGTACCTAGCATATAGAAATTGGTCAACGAGAAGGTTGGTTGTTCCTACCCCTTTCTGGTATTTGGCAGAACTCTGGTGTGATTTCACACCATATGCTCTTAAGGAAGGAGCTTTTGAATATAAGACAGGCGAAGTTTATAAGCCCTATTTACAGATTTCATAACATCAGTGTGATCTCTGGTTCACAGATCAATGCTTGGATGAAGCATAAAATGACCTGAAATTCACTCTGAGCTCTCAAGGCATCATATTGGACTATAGTAATATATACCAACTTGGGATAGTCCCCCCCTGTTAATATCTCATAGAAGTCATTACTGATTTGAGTCCCAAGATGGTGGTGTTTTCTTGATATCTTGTTGGTGTCCCACAGAGATCAACAATTATTTAGGGAAGCTTAAGGACCATGGACCCGAGGGACGGACACACACACACACACACACACCATAAAGCTATAATACTTCCCATCATAACATCTTCAGAAACAGGGGAAGCAATGTCTGTCCCGCAGGTTGGTTGGTTGGACTATACACTCTGTTTTTTGGGAGTGGACATACATGTTATTTTCTGGGATCTGGAAGCTTGTTCTTTTTATTTTCTCCTTGAGGTAATTTATTATAGCCCTGTGCAAGAGAAGAAAGAATTGCAAAGGAGGGCAGTAGTATTAGTCATATTTTTTAAAACCTGTATTTACCTCTCTTAATTAGTGTCTCAAGAAATGTCATATTTTGAGCACTCCTTTGTGAAAATATTTTCTCTGTGTATTGAGAAACAATCTGGATGAGAAATGGGAACAATCTGATTTGCAGAACCAAAGATCTTGTAACAGCTTTTAGTGTAAAAGGGGAGAGTGTAAACAAATTGGGAAGAATGCTTAATTTCTCTCTTTTCATCCTCCTACTCTCTCACTAACTCCATCCACGAAACCTGGTAAGAAATTGCATGGAGACCCTCCTGATGGTCACTCTGAGGTTGAGTAGCGGCAAGGGGCCTGAGGACTGCTTATAGAGGGGCATAGGCAGCTGAACCCCCTCTGAAGCACAAAGGGAGGAATTACCTTGGCCATGTGCAAACCACTTTGAATTGTCTCTCCATAGCATGTTTCTCAACTTTGAAACTATTGATATTTTGGGCCACATAATATTTTGATGTTTGCATGTGTTGTTGGTATGTGTGTGTTGGGGGGAAAAGAGGAGGCCGTTGTGTATATCATAGGGTATTTAGCCGCACCCCTAGTCTCTACTTGCTAAATAGCACCCTTCCCTATTGTGATGACAAATACTGTCTTCAGACATTGACAAATGTCCCATGGGAATACAAATCACTGCTGATTAAGAACCACTGTTCTATACGTAACCAGCAGCCTAATTTTTCTTTTAAAAATCATTTATGTGGAATACTACATTCCTAGATGATGCCTAATAAAAAAGTATAATTATAATAAAAATGATCATACAGGAATTGGGGGTTGAAATATTTAGTGAAATATGTCTTCACATCGGATCTCTGTCTTGGAGCATCTTTAGACTTGAAAGCATTTCCCAAAGGTTTTTCAAAATTATGTGCTACTTTGAACTCAGAAAACGACAACTCACTTTTACTGGCCACTGAAGAAAGAAAACCATATCATTAGAATAATTATTTGTTTTTTAAATTGGGATTTCTTAATGCACATAAACTTTATTTCTTAGAAAGCATTTGAAGAATGAGAACAATACTTGGTTGTGTTGGGTTTCAGTTCAGATTCTCTTTCCTCCAGGAGTAATTATTTGGTGCCTCTACAGTAATGTATGTATCGCCCAAAGATCAGGAGGGAGAGAATAAATGAGGGTGTCCTCACCTTCTGTTGGCATTTTCTATATGTCAAAGACCTTGAATGTATCCATCTCTTAGTAAAAAAATTACACCCTTCTGCTCAGCCGGCGTGGCTCAGTGGTTGAGCATCAACCAATGAACCAGGAAGTCATGGTTCAATTCCCTGTCAGGACATATGCCCAGATTACGAGCTCAATCCCCACTGTGGGGCTTGCAGGAGGCAGCTGGTCAATGATTCTCTCGCATCATTGATGTTTTTATCTCTCTCTCCCTCTCATTTTCTCTCTGAAATAAACAAAATATATATTTTTTAAAAATCACATGCTTCTTCCTGAGCCAATCCCATAACATGTTTTGTAAGAATTCAGGCAAGTTTCTATATTGTGTGTTTTAAAAAACAATTGTAATAAAATATTTACATTTTATGTGTGTTGTGAGGCTTAAATATATAATTCAAATTATGTATACATATATAATATTTGTGCAGCATGGCTTATGATTTTATAACGACATTTTAGCATAGTCATTTTACAAGTCATTAAAGTTATTAAAAAATAAGTTTAATAGCTGTGTACTTTTCCATAATATATAGGTACCATAACTCTGATAAATTCCATCCTGCTTGACACTTTATTTCTAATTTTACTATCATCAATAATGCTGCAGTGTGGCAGCAAATATTCTTGTTAATAATTTCATATTCACCTCTTTGATTAGTTCTTAAAATAAATTTAAAGCAGTAAATTAATTTGTCAAATAGGTCATTATAAGGCTTCAGAGTCATAGTTGCAGGAAGTTTGAACCCAAGAGTACCAATTCACTAAATAATGGCTGACATTAAATATCTAATTAATATCACTATGCTAATTTCATTGAAAAATGCATAAAAAATACTTTTGCCTTCTAAAAAATATTGGTAAAAAAACTTGTGGTTTAGCAATCAATTAAGCATACTTCTCAGCATTTCAGTGGTAAGCAGTATAATAATTAAAAAAAATTATTTCCTGGGATCCCAATTTTCCCAATACTGACAAAAAAGTCAGCAGGAAAAAGGGATTGAAATTTTATAAAACAAGATGGCTAATTAAATAATATTGGATGTCTTACAATGATTCCCTTCCAGGCCCAAAATTGTGTAGGACTAGTGTTAGGACTCACACTGAGTCTATGGATATGAATGCTTTTGTGTGATCTGTGAATGAAACTGTGAGCTCTATGCATTTGTATGCAACAATGTTTGGGCATTTTCTAAACTTCACAAGAGCAATGTCCCATTTGCAGAAAAAATTAACTATCCTACTTATTTTCGTGTTTTTTTAGGAGACAGTCAAACTGATTTTGGGATCATATAATGGAGAATAACGGTTAATATTTTCCTCCAACTCCCATGAAGTGGGGACATGGGCAAGGAAAACTGTACCATCGCAACAGAGTTCATTCTTCTTGGATTATCTGATGTCCCTGAGCTGAGAGTCTTTCTTTTCATGGTGTTCCTTCTCATATATGGAGTCACAGTTTTGGGAAATGTGGGCATGATTGCACTGATTCAGGTCAGCTCTCGACTTCACACTCCCATGTACTTTTTCCTCAGCCACTTGTCCTTTGTTGATTATTGCTACTCCACAATCATTGTGCCAAAGATGCTAGCTAATATTGTAAACGAAGACAAAGGCATCTCCTTCCTGGGATGTGCTGTGCAATTCTACTTGTTTTGCACGTGTGTGGTAACTGAGGTCTTCCTGCTGGCCGTGATGGCCTATGACCGCTTTGTGGCCATCTGTAACCCACTGCTGTACATGGTCACCATGTCCCGGAATCTCTGTGTGAAGCTGGTGTCTTGCTGCTACCTCGGTGGGACTGTGTGTTCTCTGATTCACTTGTGTTTAGCTCTTGAGATCACATCCTACAGATCAAATGTGATTAACCATTTCTTTTGTGATCTGCCCCCTCTCTTATCTCTTGCTTGCTCTGATGTCTCTATGAATGAACTGCTCCTATACATTGTAGCCACTTTCAATGAGATCACCACCATCGTGATCATCCTCACCTCCTACTTGTTTATTCTCATCACCATCCTGAGGATACACTCTGCAGAGGGAAGATGCAAAGCCTTTTCCACCTGTGCCTCCCACCTCACAGCCATCATTGTCTTCCATGGAACAATCCTTTTCACTTATTGCCGGCCCAGTACTGGCAACAGTACAGATACTGACAAGGTGGCTACAGTGTTCTACACGGTAGTGATTCCCATGCTGAACCCCCTGATCTATAGTGTGAGGAACAAAGATGTTAAAGAAGCTCTCAGAAAAGTGGTGGGCTCCAAAATATTTTCTCTGAGAATATATTCTTAGCAGGACTCAGGGTCCCATAGTGGAGGCTGGTGGAGGGATGAATCGGTGGGTTGCTATGCTGGAGTACAGAGAACAGCAAGGGAGTAGATCTTTATGAGTGAGGCGTTTTGGTTCACTTATCTTTTTACTTACTTTTGATTACCTGACAATCAGCATAAATGTGTAATTAATGTATATGGCAGCTTGACCAAGAGCACATCTCAGTTCTTTTCACCAGGACTCTCTAGGCAGTCTTCATTAAATAATTGAGTATATTTGTTATAAGCATTGAGAGCTAATTGCTTTCCTTGGGTTGGAATGTTGTTTTAAATTAAATGTCAATTTCAATGACAATCTAAACAAAGAAATAACAAATCTATATTATTGTGTATATTAGGGAGGATTCATTTTTCTCTAATAGTAGTCATGTTAATTAAAAGATGCCCTCATACACACAGGTATCTAATTTTTAAAATTCTGTAACTTTGTACATCTTTTTAAATCCCATCATCAATTTTACTTGAATTCCTTATATTTCCCCCCTTTTTTTTGGTCCTGCACTGTTTGTATTTGGATAAAATTCCAAAATTGTACAGAAACTTATTGGGAGGAAAAATTCTGGTTGTTTTTTTGAGGGTAAAATGAAAACCAGACAACAGTCTTATACAGGTTCATGAAATAATTTGGTATGGTTATATAATTTTAAACTGACAATGATAAGTTAAAATAATATCAAAATTTTCTAAATATTTACATATATAGTGGTAACCAAAATGTTTTATATATTTACAAATAAGCTACCTTCCTTTGTATATTGTCATTAACTTAATTTTAAGTTATCTGGAATAACAATGAAAAAATAGCAAAAATGTTATATTACTCTTGATTGGAATCTATGAAAAACTCATGTTTAAAATGTTTTCATGTATTTTTCTCTATCTTGGTGTAGGATGATTATATTTTTGTAAAGTTAGAAGTATAAGTCAACTTTTATTCTGAAAAAATGAAAACGTATAGTTTAAGTGCTCTGACCAATGTATTAGGATTAGTGAGTGACAAAATAAAGATGGGTAATTGAGATTTCAACCACAGAGGCACTACACTTTTCAATAAATATAGATGTAACATTTCATCTTATTCCATTGTCATTTGAGCTTTTGAATCTTCTTTGGCACCTCTTATAGCTGCTATGCAGAACATGATTTATGTTAGTGTTATTTAAATTTTTTACTCATGTGTCACTTAAATGAATTAATTTTTAAAATCTATATATCTGTTAAATTTTTAGTTGACTTATAAAAAATTCATCACAAATTTAACCTGAAAAAGAAAAATCTATTATTATCAGTGTATACCATAGCTTTTATTTCCATCATGATTAATTTAAAATACATGGATCATCAGATTTCACATTATTTCTTTGTCCTTGAGTCATATTTAATTTTAACTATTCTACAGAGTTGTATTAGAATGACATGTATTTATTTTTATTTATATTTATTGTCTTTTCCCTGGCTAGAACTCCCAGTCTTATGTTGAATAGAATTGGCTAGAGTGGATCCAGGTCTTTTTCCTGATCTTATAGAAAATGCTTTCAGTTTTCATCACTGAGTATGATGTTAGCTATAGGCTTGTCATATATGACTTCTATTATGTTGAGGTACATTTCATGTTTTTTTTCATAGGTATGGACAGTGGTAGGAGGATCTGGCTGTGGAAACAGTAGGAATAATTGTAACTAAAAGCTGTCCTTTTCAATATAGTTTGAATTGTAACAGAGTCTGAACTAGTATTTATTGTGCACTCCTATGTTCATATTGCTATATTTGAGGGTATATTGGTGGTAGACTACTTGAAAGGCACAATCTATTACATATTTTCATGAGCCCTTTTTATAAATGTTAATTTTAATAATTCAATACATATAACTATATTCCTGGTAATATGTTTATTTTAAAATGAAATTAATATGAAGTCACTAGAAAAATTTACTTTCTCAGATTCAGAGAACTTTTAAAATGTCTTTAGTACTATTCTAAATGACAACTAAAAAACATATTGCACTTACACTTAGTTGAATCTTGTTTAAACCAATGTAATCAAAGTTTTGGCTGAAGCATAGAAGATAGTAAACTAGAAAGAAATTTGCTTCCTATGTTGTAATACAAAAAGTTAGCTATCCTGTAAGCTTAAAAACTTTCTGGAAAACCCATCAGATAGTTGAGCTCAAATAACAAAAGAATAGAGTTCTCAGTAACAGAATTCATTGCTAGGAGAAGGGAAAGAATCTAGAGAGAGCTCCATATGCAAAGAGAAGACCTAAAGCTTAGGATGGATTACATTTTGAGAATCTCTGGCAAACCAACTCCCACCATCAAATAAGATAGCAATAGATTAATTTGAAGTTTGTGGAACACAGAGGTAATCATATTAATAACAAAACTGAAGCCTAGGTTAAAGCACTATACTTCATGCTAAGCAAAAGATAGAAATCATTTTCGGGAAAAATGCTATTTACTTCAGTCTTTATTGACCTTCCCATGGTATGCATTTAAAAAAACATAGACATAGCACAAATGAGCAGGAGAAAATGACTGGTTACGGGGAAACAAAGACATTAGCAGACTCAGATTTGGAAAATGACTTAGATGTTAGAGATATCAGACAAGCTATCTAATATAATTCTATGGGTACTAGTGGGAAAGTTATCAACATGTATGAATAAATAATGAATTTCAACTAAGTCATGGAAACTAAATTTGCTAGAAATAATAATGAAAAAACCCCCACCAGAGGTAAATATGGGCACAGAAGTAGCCTTAACATACTCAAGAAAAGTATTAGTGAACATACAGATAGATCAATAGAAAATACTCAAAATTACATGTAGAGAAAAAAAGTGCAGAAACAAGAGAAAGTATTTAAGCTGCATGACTATCAAACAGTTTAAATAACTCTATTTGAAAACTCAGAAGTAAAATAGAATGATGTCAGGGCAGAGGAAGTATGTGTAGAGATAATGGCTAAGAATTTTCTAAAATTAATAAAAGACACCAAGCCACAGGTTCAAGAATCTCAGATAACACTAAACACAGAATGAACACACACACACACACACACACACACACACATCATAGAAGGAAACAAAGTAAAACAGTACCAGTAAATACGGAATGCAAGAACTATTACACATGGAGAAATGATTTTCAACTACAATAATTTGTTTATGGAGTGATATCAGTTGCTCTGTAGGATGTTAAGCAGCACACATGGGCTCTATAAACCAGATGCCAGCAGCACCCCCTTCGAGTTATGACCATCAAAAATAATCCACAGCCCTGGCTGGGTGGCTCAGTTGGGTGGAGCATCAATCCATACAACCAACAGGTTGCAGGTGTTATCCCCAGTCAGGGCGTCTATGGGAGGCAACTGATCAATGTCTCTCTCTCTCTCTCTCTTTTCCTTCCTCTGTCTCTAAAATGAATAAAAACATATTCTTGAGTGAGAATTTAAAAATGTACATGTTGGTAGTTAAAAAATAGTCACAGGAATGTAAAGTACAACATAGGGAATATAGTCAATAATATTGCAATAACTATATGGTGCTAGTTGGGTACTGGAAATATTGGAGAGAACACTTTGTAAAGTGTGTGGGCTTACTTCTAATATTGAATTTAAAACAGAGTGGGTATTTAAAACACAGGAAGAGAAAGAAAAGGTAGCCCTCCTAGTCAGTTATTGAAACCAATCAAGATCTCTAAAACAAAGGGGCCTAGTGGGGCAAGGTGGCCTGGCTCTTTATCTAGTTGTGTGGATGACGTGTACATTCTTCTCTGAAATGGATGCTTCCTTAATCAAAGTTTGTCAGGCACTTGAGTATAAAAAAGAAAAAAAATAATAGTGCCGATGAAGAAAACTGAGATATACCCCTTAGTTAAGTGGCCAGGTGAATTGATAATGTATTTACGCTGATCAATAGTTGATAGAAAGGAAGCATAAAACAGAACATGAATATATTTTCTTTGCTTTTGCTCTCAATTTCAAAAAGCAAGCTAATATTCTTAAACCTCTTATGCATCCCTTTATTGATTATCATCATGAGGAAATGAATGAATATTGTATAATATTTAGAAAAAGTCCTAACACATAACAAGTGCTTAATAAATGCGAACTGTTATATAGTTTTCTGACCAGTAGGTTCATTACTTTTATGGTATTTAAGGAATTCTGGTGTGGCTTTAGTCACTGTGCCCTATGGGAATTTAGGAGATTTTATAATGTCATAAGAAAGGGAGAATTTATAAGAAATATTTGTGTTGTTATGGCAATAATAGGCTGTGACCCGCCTATATGACACCAGGATGTAAGACTGTAATGCACCATAATATCTAGAAGGAGGCACTTTGGTTGTAAATAGGTTTTTCCCAAATGGGGATAATTTAAAAAACAAATTTCTTAACGGCATTCCATAGAGATTAATTATTATACGTTACACCATACATTGTATTAGTTTAATTTTTACATATTTTGTTATACCACATAAATTAATAATTGATTTGCAACTTGAGGGACCCTTCCCCAGGAGCTTAAATTGCCTATAAGTCCTTAACTGGGTACCACACTTGTCCTAACATCTCCAGCACCGGGGAGGAAATGTCTGTCACTCAGGTTTGTTAGCTACAACTAGGCTCTGGTTACTTGAAAATTAAAATGGACATGTTTTCCCAGAAAACATGATTTTAAAAATACAGCTAACTCGTTTGTCTGCTAATTAGAGAATGATTTCACAGACCATATTCCTGTGCACTTACTGTTCAAATGCTTTTGTCTTTTAGTATTGAGAGACAGTTGATGGTGAAATTAGAACCATTTCCTCTGGAACACCAAACGTTGATGTGCATGAAAGAATACAGAGGAAACAAAAGGTAGTCTCTCTCTCTCTCCCTCCCCCTCTCTCCCCCTTCCTTTCCACTTTGTTTCACACCAATTTTTGTCATGGAATCTAAAATTTGTGACCATGG